GATATAGTGTCCACCTTTGTCTTCCCTCCGGCTGCCTTGTGGGAATAAGATCCAATTGCCATTCTCCAAGCTGCTATATCTGTACTATTTAAAGTATGTAACAGTATATAATTCCTTACAAACTTTCACAATTTCAGTATAATGTTTCTTTATGAGCTAACACAAGAGCATAATGTCGTCACACTTGATTGGGTTTCACTGAGAGCTATTTCCACGTCCGTTCACTTCAAAATCTTCAATTGTAACTCAGCCCTTAGGGACAATAGTACAATGAATGTTATGAGATAGAAGCAGCCTCGCCGTTAGCCTGGGGTCCGTGGGGGCTCGGCCCCCGCAAGTGAAACACCCGAGCAAAACCTTCAGTTCAGCAGAGACTGATTTATCAAAAAGATACATTATAGATTTTTAAACTTTTTTGGTGTCACACCTTAAAATTGTCAGAAATGATTGTAATGTCTCTTTAAGTAGTTGGGCGGACTACCTCCGGAGCATTATGACGCAAAGCAACATGGGTCTCGACGGGCTTATCAGGTTGAACACAAATAACCAATGTAACAGTTTATTATAAAAGTATAAAAAGGACGCATCGCATTTACTCAAACAATATAACATTCATATCTATCTTGACTAAACTTCAATAAATATACTGGCTTCCAATAAACCAATCTAAGCCATATATACTAGTCGGATAAGACGAATAAGCCGAATAAGCCGTGAAAACTGAAAAATACAAAATAATCATTTTGAATAAGCTTATCGAATGAATACACAAAGTTACACCGAAAACGAAACAGATATACAATTAATAAACTAATGATACCTCCATGAGCCTTTGTAATTACGCAAATTTCGCAGCCCAAACAAATCTTTTGGCGCACTCAAGAAAAAATATCAAAACCGGAAACGGAATAATCGAATATGTATACTTCGATATCGCAATAAAATCACGTATTCACACTGTGAATGTTGACTTCGAATCGGTGGATACTACAGCAGCTACATGGCTCCCCAAATTAGATGCTTCTTAATTTCCTTAACGAAAAGCGAAGTTGTGTATTCATACGTTACAAAATGCAAAAAAGTTATTTATAGACACTAAAACACTTAACTAAATAGGTTCAAGTTATATCTTAACTTATAAATAAAACTAAACGAATGGCTCCCTTGGTGGGGATTTCCCTGGTCTAAAAATCTCAATGCTAATTTTCTGATTCGACAACTAAAATTAACTTATGCACAGGGCGATCTAAATAAGTAACCTTATCTAAAGCTTGTCCTTTAGAATTCAAATTTCTACTACCAACAACTAATTTTACTTTACGAACAAGATTATCATTTCCAACAAAAGTTTCAACAACACGACATAAGTTCCATTGATTTCGAGCAACATTTTCATCACTAAGCAAAAAAATGTCACCAATTTTAATATTT